GAGAATAAATTATTTTATTAGCTCGCTCAACCTTATGCTCGTTTGATTTCGGGCGATTTAAAACTTGAAAAACTTGCTTTTGAATTATTGTGGTAGGTATAGGATTTTTAAAGTTAAAGTAAGTATAGCGGTACAATTCTTGATAAGCGATAACCATTTCACTGACTAGATCAAAGAGCAAACGTTTGGTTATTCTCTTGCCGTTAAATAGAAAATAATTATCACAACTTAAGCTATTTTTGTACAGTTCAAAACACCGTGAAAAGGAGTCTCTCCCTTCTATTGACAAGAATTGTTTAATTATATTGCACAGGGACTCTTGAGAAATCCATTTTCTCTGATCGTGAACATAGTCGTTTTCTTTGTTGATCGAATTTCTTAAAGCAGGTACTGCGCTAGAAATTGTCTCGCGGCCCTCGCCATGTAATTCAGCCCGATTGGCAATCTCTTGTCTGGAAGGGTAAGCTTCATCAAACTTCTCATTCAGCAACGTGCTTGGAGCCGATGAGAAAACAATCTGCAAAGATAGCATCATAATTCATGTTGAAAAAAATACGAATAAATGTAAATGCTTTCAATCTTCTGTTTTAAAATAATAGTGGAACCTTCTTGTTCTTGAATAAACTTAAATTTTTACATTTTTTAATCATTAGCTGTTTCGCCTTACCAAATTAGTTGAAAATTTTTAAGTATATCTATGTTTGACTATTATGCTTTGATAAATGATAATGACTCCTATCACAATCTTTGTTCAAATAAAGATACAAAATTAGGAATAAAAACAATGATAAATATATGAATAATCGGATATTGAATGACATAATTTAGTCACGAGTAACATATAGGCAATCAAATGGCAATTTCATTCGATTTAATAACCATCTATTACCTTACTAATCAGATACAATTTTCAATCCTGGCGTCTGTTTTACATACAAGCCTTGTTAAATTTAGATTCAGCTGCTATAATACTTACAGGCGAGTAATTTCCGTACGAATATAAAGTAGTCAAGTTGTAGATGCCAAACGCCTCTTCCAGTTCCGTGTCCTCCCAAACGTTACCTGGTTGGTCATCAGATTGGAATTCATCTCCACCCGGAATGCTAAAGTCTTCTATTTCGGAATATTTTCCGAAAGGATTTGAAAAGCCCGGAGGGTCACCCCAGTCGAGGGCTTGCCAATTAGAAGATTCATCTTGGCTCAGACGAGTATTATAGTAAGACGGTTTCGTACACGAAGTGTCAAAAAAATTTGATCGGCTACTTTCTGACCAGCCGACGGCAACGGACTGTTGCTTGTAGTCTTCTTCCAGCTGTGATACGAATGAAATCTTCATCATTTCTCGATTTTTGAACATTTCTTTGTCTCCCTGTTCGGGAATAAATTCGCCATCAGGGTTACAGTTTTCATCGATTCTGTCATCTGTCTGCCCCACCTCTTCGCTTCGATGTTCATCCTCAATATTGATGTCAATGCTTCCTAATTCACCAACTATAAATGTGGGCCGATCATAAGGTTGGGATCGCTTAGGTTCCGTCAAGGTTTCACTATTCAAATTTATTCCGGGATTGCTGCAGCAAAACTGTGATCCTGGTCGTACCTGCAGGAAGAAAAGACAATGTGTGTAAATTTCTCCAGCTAGTGTAAATAAAAACTAAGATCATCCTAAGCATTATCATTCGACTTTATATCACGATGACGGTACCACAAGTCATGACCATTGAATATTGCAAACACAATTCTATAATGATAAATGAAAATTCAAAATTATTTAGTTATTTCATGTAATTTTTCACAGTCAATCTCCAATTTTTCCTCGCCGAGTCTCACAGAAGAGGAATTTTCATCCTAAAATGTATCATTGAAAGTAATAAATGAAGAAAAAACGGCATTTTTATGTCCAATTTTTAGCTAATATGCTGCACGAGCTGAAATGCCTATTTGAATTTTCAGATTACTGATTTATTGGTGAAGAAGTTGCCGTTAAATGTCATATTTGTTCAACACCAGAAAGTGATTCATTGAGAATTTTCTTATTCCTTTTCTCGGTCAAATGAGTTTGACTTTTGACTGGATTCGAAAATTCAAAGATGTTCGTAAAATAAATTCTATTTTGGTGGTCGGATGTTTCGAATAATAATTATTCATTGTCACATGAAATAAAGGACTTACAACGAGTAAAATTCAAAACATTCCAAATTCAAAAGAGACATTTCAGTATTTAAATCAATTATGCTAACACTATAACAGGTTTCAGAGTTCTGCATTAGTTTTGGTAATGTTCAAGGGATAAATACCATGGAGATTCTGTAGTAAAATTAACAACAGCAACGTGTATACATCTCTGTGACGTTCAAATGTGTAAGAATTTGTTTCATGGATAGCTTTGATGTTAAATGGCCATGAAGCGCTGTAGCAACACAGTTAGCAATGTACAGCAAATTCGAAGTTACAAAATAATCAGAACCCAGAAACTCGAAAATAAACATCCTTTACGCAACTATTGTTAAAATATTCTTTAGATATATGAATTGAATTGAAAAACCTCACCGTAGTGCAGTCGAACCAAGCTCCTTTTGGCTCTGTCTCGACCTCTTCCAGACACGGCAGTTGGCCTTGCGAGCAAGGCAGGCATCTGAAGCACACCCTGAAGACGTCCATGATGGCAGTAGACACGGCACCCAGCAGCATGGAGGTGTTCTCTGACGCTACCACGTCAGGATGATGTCTGGACACGACACTCGATCTTTGTTCCTCCACAACGCTGGAAAAACAAGGGGGACCCAAACGAGATAGTGAGGAATAAGACTTCACTACCGAGGTATCTGGCTCAGCTGACGCTATGTTGCTGGATTCAACGGCTGTGTAATTGTTTTCACAGAATCCTTTCCGGTCAGCAGTGGATTTCGCATTCGATGCTGCGTCGTTTATTTCATCAGCCGGCAAGATATTTTCACTGGTTCTTAAACTACTTGGAAGGGAAGACTCATTGTCAAAAACTTCATAAACTTCATCTAGTTTATTTTTATTTTCACAGGAATTCTTGCTCCAGGATGGCAAGCCACCGACGCTCACATCCGTCAGCATGAAAGCGTCGTTGTTGAAGCCCATCCTGGGGGATGCCGACTTCACTCGGCCGTGCAACGAGTCGAAGGCAAAATGATTTTTAGAATTAAAACTTTCACAGCTTCCTACATAATCCCGGGTGACTGTCATCTTTCCGGATTGCCATAATTTTACAGTAATTTTTCACTTAATTTGATTGAGTTACATATCAATATTTATTTATCACATGCGCAGGCAGAGGTGATGTGCATTTTCAAGAACTTGACTCACACATGGAGAAAGAACCTTCATGGTCAGTGTAAGAAGCAGAATTATAGCAGCACGTCATCACACCTTCGCGTTATTTATATTTTACAAATATTTTGAAAAATTATCTGGAAAACATGAAAAAATCATAATCATCAACTAATTCTCAACGACAACTTAAATGCAAGTATCGAAAGAAATTTTTGTGATTTAAATTAACCGTTGTATTATCAGACTTCATTGAAGATTGTAACTTTGTATAACGTACGATTCGGTTCCGTGAGATTTCAACAAACAATATTCACTTAGTGATGTTGCTGAGGCGACGCCGAGCTTAACACTGCGCGGAAAGATTCTAGGCCATCCAAACCGGAATGTGTTAGGCATAGATAAATAATTAAAATTATTAAAATAAATATCCAGGACACGGAACTCTGATAATAATTTACCCACATCCTGCTACACGAGTCTCCAGACTACAGACCAGCGCTCAGCGCATGCATGAACCTTGACCGGCTCTTGACGAACGCATACAGGAAGCTTGGTTCCGATAAGAAATATTCACTTCCGTCATCACCGTACTCTAGTTATAATTCTAGCGATCTTAAATAAATATACCTTGTCCTAATATGGCAAGTATTACAAAATTTGAACATCACAACTAATTAATTGACCCGCGCTGAACCGGAAGGCTTAGCGAAATATTCACTCTAAACGAATGTATTTCTCACGAATTTGTTTTAGCTTCGATAACAATGTCTAGATCGATCTCATGCTGATAAGGCCTCTGAATGATATCGCTTCATTACTGGGCGCTAAACGCTCGTCCAGTAATCTTGCTTAAGAAAGCGCATTATGCTTTGAGTCTACACAACGAAGAACCGATTTGATAATCGTCCGTGATAACGGGCGAGTACTGGAATAGTCAGTGATAACGGGCTGGTACTGGAATGGTCAGTGATAACGGGCTAGTACTGGAATGGTNTGGAATGGTCAGCGATAACGGGCTAGGACTGAAATGTTCAGTGATAACGGGCTAGGACTGGCAAAGTAAAATAAAAAGAAAGCGATGCAACAGTTAACTTGAATGACTTGAGTTCTTTAGATTCATTTAACATACTATTTTTTCCTTACAACAATATTTTAGAAATTATACGAACTTGCTTCGAGTCATGGACAGATAAACCCTGATTTCGCAACAGGCGCTACAGTTATTTGTGACCATTTCACTTGTTAGCAGTAAACCACCTTAAGCAGTTGCCATTAACAAATAAAACCGAAGGGAGGTGAAACTGAAAAGAACCAGCGTTTCCCTACCTGAAAGCCATTCACTATCGACATCGTGAGTCTTTCCAACAACTACATGCTTAGTTGTCAAAACAATCCGACGCATTATTCCTAACTATTTTTATTTATTCCTACTCTGAAGATATGACTTCCGACTTACAGGCCCATTTGTATCATAGTCCATTGGAAGAAGGTTGAATTGACGAAAATTACCATGAATATCCAGGCTACTAAGTTATTTTGCCAGTACTCCAAACCTAAATAAAACACAAAGAAAATTTCTATAGTTGTCGAGTAGAATTTTTCGAACCTCGTTCAAATGCCCCTTCATTTCATTAAGACTCAATCAATACATTCGTCGAATGCACCTTCTGGCTGCATATGGTATTACTTAGGTACTAGCGATCCTGCTGGCGCTGTAACATTTTACATCGAATTTCCAGCACCTCATCAGATATTATGAAACGGGCTAGACTTTATAAAATAATAACAAAAAACGGGCTACACATTGTGAAATAATAATACTAATAAACATTTGTTCCCAGCGAGTCGTTCTATCTGTCGGAGACTTCCGTGTACAGCTCCATGCACAACTTCCGAGGCTGCAGCGAAGCCTTCCATCACGGCAAGTGCAGCCGGACAGCCTCACTTCAGCCGGACGGTTAGCTGACTTCCGCTTTCTTTTATCTCAGTTCTCAGATTTCTGCTTATCCGTTCGGTTATCTGTACTTTATCCCAATTGTTATAATATATTAGGCGGCTTTAATCACTGCCTTTAAGAGTTACTCTACCGCAAACTTCAAATGAGTTGTACTAGTATTATATAGTTCAACCACGGAATGCAGGATATTTTTCTGGATAAATTCCGCTATTTATTTTTTTAATTGCATTAGCCGGAAAATTTTATGATGGCGCGCTTCCTTACTAAATTTCAAAAAGTAAGAAAAAAGAAAATTTAATTTGTGCACCGTAACCTACAAATTTACTAGTAAATGTTGAATAATTAGCCCTTTTTGTCCCGGAGTTGGCCTTTTACAGGCCATCGGGCAACAGTGGTGGGTCGTGCTGCACTTAACGTGTTAATTATTATTCGTTTCGTCACATCCTGTTACGTTGATATAATTTTACGGTGTTCTACATCAGTGAAGCAGGTGTTCCATGCGCTCTTATAGAACAGTCAGTCCATGTTGAATCAAATTCCAATATTATCAAAAAATCCTGAACGTTTCTTTATTTGGCGACATTTTGTATATGCGATAAACTCCAACATATTTGTATTCTTAATATTCTACAATTACTACTAATGATTACTACAATTACTACTACATCGTTGGTTTTTTACGTGTGCATGACTTCCTGGTTATAAAAAAGGGGGCAGAGCCAAACCAAACAAAATCCTCGACCTTTCATTTCACTTTCATTCAAACATGGAGCCGGCGACAGAACTGATGAGAAGAAAGGATGACTAGCGAAATATTAACACGATAAGTGCGGCACGACCACCGGTGAGTTGCAGAGTCTTCTTTTTCTGGACAAATTCCGCTATTTAGTTTTTAGCGCATTTTCTCATTTATGGAAAAAATGCACTATTGTGCTCGTCATGTCCGTCTGTCCGTCCGTCTGTCTGTCCGTCCGACGAGAAAATGCGCTCTCTGTCACTCACTGCAGTGAGTACTGAGTTATATTTTTTTACTTGCGTTGGCCGAAAAAATAATGATGGCGTACTTCCGTAATAAATATAAAAAAGTACAAAATTTACTAGTAAATATTGAATAATAGACTTTTTTGTTCGCGGACTTGGCCGTTTTGTGGTCATCGTATTTGGGTCAATTCAAGTGCATATCTACAAAACTTTATGATGCTCCCTCTAAAGTATGACTCAATATCTAATATTTAAACTATTATTCACATATATAGCAAAAAATTCCGTTGTCTATTCTTCAAAATTAAATTTATATATTGTGGAGAGTCAGCGCAAGTTCTTAAGTTGTAAGGATGTATAATTCAAATCTATGATCATGACGAGAGGTTCTAAATTTGCAGCCTCCAATCGCTGTGCCATCGCGGGACCATGAGAGGGCACACTACGATGTTTGCATGGCAGGTGAATCACCATAGAGCACTCGTACGACCTCTACTGCACTCAAACACTTGATTAGTACACCTTTTTAGAGCATTTCTAGTTTTAGTTATTCCCAACTTATTTCAACACCAACAGTTTACGTGTAAGCACTCGTGTAACTTTCAACATGTACGGTTAAACTGTCAAATGCGGATTAAAAACGTATAAACGTCAGATTTACGGCGCATAAAAAACAGATGACAAAATGTTGGATGTAGAGTTCATTTAGCTCTGTCACTTGCACATCCCTTGCACATCATTAACTTGCGTACTTGAATGTCAGTGATAATAATTAACCCACTCTTTTCCGATTACGATTTCAATATTCTTCGAGAAAAATTAATGGAAAGATATAGTAGAACAGTAAAATATAGCAATTTCAGCCTGACAGTGAGTTGGTATTCGAATCTTTCATTATTACTGATGGAATATAAAAAATAAGAATCACCACGATTAGTTTTCGAAATATCGTATATTGAATCGATACTCCGGGAATAATTTTTCTGGCAAACATTCGAAATCGGGATTTTGTAGCAATGCACACCGGTAACAAAAATTGAAATATAGACCTGGAAGTTAATATTATTTGCAGGCTGAGTTCACTTCGTATTCATCGCTGAACTTGAGATCACGGCAATAACTGAACAGGATCAGGCACCATGCAGGTCGTCGGCCGCTCTCGTAGTATAAATACTCTTTTTGGATAGGCTTTAAGTCAATCTTTCTTTAATTATTTCCAAATTTGAATATCCTTATAAATGATAGAGGTTAATCTCAAGGCAATTCAGTCAGGAAAGGCAGGGCTTGTGAGTTTTTCTGCGTCAAAAATTGGCAAATCTTCGTCGTGTACACGTCGTTGAGATGGTAGTAATAAAAAAAATCCCCATTCACACTTACCTTTTCACTCACTGCGTTAGTTTTCACCTTAAGGGCGCATTAAATGAGCCGCATTAAAGGCGTTTTGCGAGGCGCATGAAATGAGCCTCTAGTTTTCACTTACAAGAAAGTTAACTCATTCTTCTCACCTTTTCGTTTTCATTAGACAAGGAACAACAATAACAAATCCTCGTACACATGAATGAATTCAAATAAACAAAAGCGTCGCACGAATATTTTATGCTGCATGCAAATTATTTCAGATTCAAAATACCGACACGAGGCGCGGAGTAATGAAGTAAGACGGACTTAGTGTTCGTATTCTAACAGCCGTGTACATGCTAACCTGATTATAAGTGAACTTATGATAGGAAATTATACATGATAATTGAATTATTGAGCCTACAGAACTATAATTCTGTCTCCGTGCTTCAATTACGAAGCGCCAGTGAAGCAAGCAAAATACATGGCAGTTTCCTCGAGCCTGAAATCAAACGCATGATAAATCCTTCTATAATACACTGGATAACAAGTAAAAACTCGCCACACGCATGAAGCTCGCCACAACCCGCGAGTAGGGACTGATCATTAAAGGGATCCTTGCCATACATTTATGGGACCCTTACCATGCAGTTATGGGACCCTTACCATACATTTATGGGACCCTTGTCATGCATTTATGGGATCCTTACCTTACATTTATGGGACCCTTACCATATATTTATGGGACCCTTACCATGCAGTTATGGGACCCTTACCATACATTTATGGGACCCTTACCATACATTTATGGGACCCTTACCATACAGTTATGGGACTCTTACCATACATTGCA